GATTTTTTGGTCGGGTAAACTATATTTCAGAAAAGGGCGTTGAGTCCGAAAATCCGCAGAAAAATTTCTCCTGAAAATAAATAAAAAGTTAAACCTTAATTTGGTCTCTCAATTGTTATATGAACCTCGGATTTAATCTTTAAATTAAAAAAAATTTTGATTTAATCCTAAATTATTGTACGAACCCTCAATTTGGTTCTACTGTTTACTAAGTTACCCCAAATTACAAAAAATAGTAATTTAATGATGAAAAATAATAATTTAATAACCACATGTCATATTAATAATAAAACATATCAGTTGATTTTTGTACGAAAAGACCAATTTAGGGTAAATTGATAAATAGTAAGGATTAAATTAGAAATTTTTTTAGTTTAAAGATCAAATCAAGAGCTTGTATAATAGTTTAGGAACTAAATTAGAGATTTAACCTAAATATAAAAATAATAAATAAAATAAAATAAAATAAAATAAAGAAAAAAAAAAAAGCGAGGAAAGACACATTTTTCAACAACCAAAACGCGACATTAAAATATAGTAAACTTAGATTCTTCTACTTCCACCTCGTCAACCCGAGCTGGAAACCTGAGTCGGAGCCACAAACAGCATTTTCGAATAAAACAAAGAGGAAAACCACTAAAGATTTTCAAATCCTTAGAACGAATTGGGACAAAAAAAAAAAAAGAAAAAAGAAAAGGTGTTTGACGCATTTTCTGAGGAAACAAACAACCTGTAGTGAGTGCCTTGATCATTCCGGCACGCCGGCCCTTGAAATCCCTAAATACCTCCTCGACAGTACGCGGATTATACTGTGGTCCTCCTCCCTCCATGTCTCCGCCTCTGCAATTCGGTCGTCGCTGTTGCGAATGGTCAAAGCGAAGCGAAAGAGTTAAAATAAAGAGGTTTTTTTTTTTAAAAAAAAAATTATGAATATGGAAAAATATGAAAGCGAGCGCTTTTGTGGTAGGGTAGAGGGAAACTAGGAGGGGGAAAGAATTTTGGGGTTTAAATGTGAAAATTTTGAAGTTGGGGCGGACTTGAATCTGGATTTTTTGGTCGGGTAAACTATATTTCAGAAAAGGGCGTTGAGTCCGAAAATCCGCAGAAAAATTTCTCCTGAAAATAAATAAAAAGTTAAACC